TGCCCCCACTAAGGTATTCTTTGGAGTATCTGAGCTGCTCTTAAAGGCAATTTTTCGTTTCTGTAACAGCTAGTAAACAGGGAACAAAGCAACTGAACGACCTCTTCATTTTCCCCTTCTTCCTAATTTAGCCCTGTTGGATTTTTGTTGTTGTTTTGTCTCTGTCAATAATATTTGCCTGGTTTCCCGAGAGACTAATCTATGATCCAGACTGATTCAAGACTTTAGCAGTGCTGTGTATTCTCAGTTACTATAGGCACCCCCTTCAATCTACTCCACACCACAGGTACATAATTAAGAGTTCCTGGAACAAAAGCTATGACCAACCTAGACAGCATATTAAAAAGCAGAGACATTACTTTACCAAGAAAGGTCCATCTAGTCAAAGCTATGATTTTTCCAGTAGTCAGGCATGCATGTGAGAGTTGGACTATAAAGAAAGCTGAACGCCGAACAATTGATGCTTTTGAACCATGGAGTTGAAGAAGACTCTTGAGAGTCCCTTGGACTGCAAGGAGATGCAACCAGTCCATCCTAAAGGAAATCAGTCCTTTCCTTTGGAAGGACTGATGCTGAAGCTGAAACTCCAACACTCTGACCACCTGATTCGAAGAATTGACCCACTGAAAAAGACCCTGATGCTGGGAAAGATTGAAGGTAGGAGGAGAAGGGCATGACAGAGGATGAAATGGCTGGATGGCATCACCGATTTGATGGACATGAGTTTGAGCAAGCTTCGAGAGTTGATGATGGATGGGGAAGCCTCACATGCTGCAGTCCATGGGGTTGGTCGCAAAGAGGCAGACATGACTAAGCAACTGAACTGAGGACAGATACTTTACTAAAGGTCAAAAAACTATACTCATTAATTTGTAATTCTTTTTTACCTGACAGAATCATTAGGCAAAGGTCATAGGAATCAATTACCTCCTGTTCAGGATAAATTAAGCAGCACTGAAAACATACCTGCTATTTTTCCTCTAAAACCTTACTGATCCTAATTATATAAATCTTATTATTTTAACCCCCATGACCATGTGCTCAAACTTTACTCATGATATTTATCTTCAGCTACTTAAAGGTACTTAGTTTTCTGAAAGTGAAAGTTGTTCAACAGTGTCCGACTCTTCGCGACCCTATGGCGCATACAGTCCACGGAATTCTCCAGGCCAGAACACTGGAGCAGGTAGCCTTTCCCTTCTCCAGTGGAGATTCCCAACCCAGGAACCCAACAGGGGTCCCCTGCATTGCAGGCAGATTCTTTACCAACTGAGCTATGAGGGAAGCCCACTTAACTTTCTACTAGATCGAAAACTCTCTTGGAAGAAAGACTCATGAAGAAAAGGAATATCTTACTCATTGCTGTATCTCTTAAGTTAAGCCCCTACTACATTGCTCTCCTACTCATATAATATAGTAAAAATATCTGGTTATGTTCAGGTTCTACAGTCACTTTGTCCATAGCTAATCTCTGAAATTCTCACTCCCGCTTTTATTAATAATGACCCACCCAGAGTTACAATGCATTCAGTGACAAAGTTAATGAACTCTACATGTCTTAGTACTAACATTTAACAATTATTTGACTTAAGAATGATTTATATTTTTGTAGAAACAGTACGATGATTTTTAAGGAAAATGAAAGGTATTCCTTATTTCTTTTTTCTTCAACTTTCAGGCTTGAGAAAACTTGCATCTTAGATCCAGGGTGAGATCTAGTTAGCCAGACGCCACACAAATAATATCACAGGTGAAGCAGGCCTAGTGGAGACCACAGTTAACTGTGGAGCTCAGAACTTAAGTGGGGCAATCACTACTCAGCTAGAGAAAACTATTCTCAAGCACTAACAGCAACCAGGTGAAGCCAAGTCCTGTGATTTCTCAAGTGATGCTAGAAATCAAGACTTCTTAAACATGAAGTTTTCCTATTTTTAAAAGTGGCAACTAATCACTCAATGCTCCAAATACACTAAGAGCAAGCAATATGTATCTGTCAACTGGATTCAGCCCAAGAGGCTCCTGCTACTGCAGGCTCATAGTTTAAAATCTCTATACATAACAGAAGGTGGACTAAAGGAACTATACTACCTTACTGTCACCTCTCACCTCTGAGGAAGAAAGTAAAAGGAGGACCACGAAAAGAAGCTCTATTATAATAAATGAAGTATCAGTGAAAAACTCCTTTAACTTTTCTCTCTTGGGAAAAAAAAAATTATTAGCTGTTTTAGATACAGGACATTTTCTACATAAAAAATATATGCAGAGAATATTTTTCTTTTAAAAATTTTTTCCTAAATTTTGCAAAAAAAAAAAAAAGAGTATTCAAATAAATGTAATAGTTACATTTATACAAACTTAAACTTCTGGCCTTAACCAAACGAATGAAAATGCTCAGTAATAAACTCGAGACTAATGATTCACCATGCACACAGAGAAACAAGATACAAAATACTAACAGTTTTATTATATTTGCATTGGTGTATCTACATATTGTCACTTGATTCTTTTGTGACCAACATCACTGAACAACCTGGACACATGATTGAAACTCTGTGACTAGGGAACCCTAGTCTATCTAACAAACCATTGCGAACTCAAACCTCCTTAATATCATGTAATCAATAACTAAAGTGACCAGTCACTGGTAATCATATATTAATTTAGCCAAAAAAATTTCTTCAATACTTTTATGAAAGATTTGACATTATTTAACCAAGTCTCTAAGGCTTTTCCCTTTATTCAAAATTAGGAAATTATAGAAAACACTTGAATTCCATCTCTAAATGTGCTTCACCTGCTGAAAGTCTTTATAAAGTTAAAATAAAAAATTTGATGTAATCAATCATGGTAGACAGGCCCTTGGAATTCAAAACATTCTCTCAAATAACTATTAGTATGGGAGTTCCTATAGAATTGGTAAGCAATTTAATGATGATAAAATTATGTATTATTTGAGCTAATTTACTAAACACTTATTACGTATCAGTCACTATGCTGAATACATTCAGGGATTTCTCATTAACCTTAAGAAGTATCATATGAGGGAGATACCATTATTACCCCATTTTACAGATGGGGAAACTGACCTTTGCAAGATCACACAGCTAGTAAGTAGCAGAGTCAGGATTCCAACCCAACTTGTCTAACTTCAGAATTTGCACACTTAACCACTACACTGTATTGTCTCCAGTGAGTCTAGGTTGATATCTAAGATAAAGAAAAGAGGGAAATTTGTACTTCTCGGTGGCAACTTTTAAAAAATATACTGAAATGGAGGATACTTTTTAGAACATGAACAATTCTCATATACAGTCACACAAATAATATTTTTATTCCCAAACACAAATGATGAAAATCTCACAATGGACTGCTCACAAATATAATTTTTCTTAGGTTCTCATTTATATTTATTAAAAATTTAATTGGAACACTATGTTTTCTGCTCATTTCTGTGGTGAACCTAAAACTGCTCTACCAAATAAATTCTATTTTTAAAAAAACCTTAGAACTGCAACACACTAAACATGCCTAATTCAATTTAGTTAAGAACTAGCATAAGACTATATTCTTTCATTATGAAAAGCTGGACTTTATCATAACCACAGGGCCCTTAATACTTAAGTAGTTTTGAAAAAAGGCTTGAAGATGTGTAAACAGTGCTGTAAATTTTGAATTTTTAATACTTTCAGAACACCTTCAGAGAAGTCTGCAATATGTAGATAAGAAATGATAAGCTGAAATTAGACAAAAATTGAACTCATGGTGAACAAAAGGAATAAAACATAAAATATAAAAGGAATAAAACATGTCCATGGCTGACATAAATAAAATTAACTTTACTTTTCCATCAAAAGATGTATGTAGCCTTAAGTCAAAAATGTCCTAATTTGTTAAGTACTTTCTAAATCTTCTAAAGAAGCTTATCTAAAAAAAGAAAAGAAAAACACACACACAGACACAAAAAACACCTTCAACTGTCTAGAGTGATTGTCAACACAGGAATCAAATCTTTCTTCCTCTGATACTTCACCAAGGTTGTCAAAATTCTAAAGGACAATTACGACAGATATGAGGGATCTATAAAACAAGTTTTGCCTACTGCCCATCAACATGTTCCTCTCAAGATCCAAACCTAGATTCACTTATGAAGAGAACAAGGGGGAAAGTACTACATATATAAAAGTCATTTGTCCTGTATATTCTGCAGAAGATTGTCAAGATTAATTTTCAAATAGAATACTGTATTTGCCACCAACAAAAGGTGTTGAAGGGAAGCACAATATTAATTTTAGTTCGCTTCAATACTGTACTTACAAAGTTTCAACTTACAGAAGAATTACACTAGTATATTAGTAAATGGGAATTCTACTGCTCATGTTAAATATTGTTGGAGTACAAGCCCTTAACCACACCAGTAAGTAACAGAACTTTCCTTTCTCGCTGACCCACGTTTTCAAAAGCAATCCAAAGACTTTTCTGCATCGCAATGCTTTCAACAGCCAAAAGCTGGGAAATGCAGGGCAACAAAAACAAAGCGATCTGACCAAGGCATGTTTCAAACAATACTAGCACGATACTCATTCAAATATTCAAAGCTTCTCACTAATCGTCTAGCTTCAACAGGGAACGCAACCAGGTTAATACAGACTACAACTGCCTCGGTAGCTGCAAGCTCAGCTGAATCCCAGGACACCACCTCAACTGCAAGGGACAGAACCATATCCGGTTCTCCCTGAATACACATTTTCCCATGCTTCCCATCTTGAAAACTTTACATCTTCCCAGAGGAGCAATAAATACACCACGACGCCAGGGAGTGTGCCTGTAGGGAAGATGAGTGATCAAATTAAATCCGTACGCACGGAACCTTGAGCTTCAAAAGTTTTTCTGAACGAGTCACAGCTGAAAGCACTACGAGTCACAGCTGAAAAGAACGAGACCTGTTTCTCCTATTTCTTTCCGAGGAGTCAGTATCCCCCAAAACGCCGGTCTTAACTTACTGGTTAGTCGGAGGAGCGGTCAGCGGGATGGCCACCTCTTCCTCCTCGTATTCTGGTCCATCCAGAGAGTCACCTTCGTCCACTGTTCCCAGGCCAGCGCCCAAAGAGGGTAACTGAGGAGGCGGCGGCGGCAGAGGGGGGAATCCGCCGCCGGCCCCGAAGGTCTCAGCGGGCAACGAAGTGGTCCCCTTGGCGACAGCCATCTCCCCGCCCGGTCCGGCGGCGGCGGCGGCGGCGACACCAGCCACGCCGGCGGCAGCGCCTCCGGCTGACAGTCCGGGTCCCCCCGGAGCCCCCGCCACAGACCCGGGACCCAGGAAGCCTGACCCCAGAGCGGCTCCGCCACCCAAAGTCGCGGCCACGCCGGCCTCCGCCAGCCCAGGAAAGGGGGCGGCGGCGGTCACGGGAAGGGCCGCGGGGATCTTCACCCGACACGCCGCCGGGTAGGCACCCGCGGCCGCGCCGCCTCCCGCTGCCCCGGCGGTGACCGGGCCGCCCTCCTCACCGCCGGCCTCGGCCGCCATCATGTTGAAGCCCGCTCTATGCGGCCCTACCCAGCCCGCCCGGGAGCCCCCAGGGGCCACCAGGCCCGGGCTCCGAGCCGCCCCACCCAGGCGCGTCCCCTCTTCAGCTCCCCGGGCGGAGGAAACAACAACAAAAGGAGAAAGCCCGCCGCCGCCGCGCCCCCTCTCCGGGCCACAGCCCAGGCTCGGGAGCTCCCCGGGTTACGGGAAGAGAAGTGGGCAAAAAAACCCCAACGCCTGCACAAACGCCGCCCAAACCTTCACCTTCCACACCCACACGCGCGCGCGCGCGCACACACTCACACACACACACACATGCACAGAAGCGAAAAACTTCCTGGCTGCACTAAAGAGGAAGGGAAGCGAGGTGGGGGGGAAGCGGCTTGAGGCGGCTGCTGCTCCCTCAGCCGCCGCCGCCACCGCTTCTTCACCACCCCAATTCCGGCCACCCCCACCGCAACCGCCACCGCTGCCGCTGCAGGGGCTGGGGCCACTGCAGCCGCCTCATCCTCCACCGGGCTGAGGCGTGAGGGGTGGGGAGAAAAAGAGGAAGGGGGCGGGGTAGCGGGGAAATCAACCGAAAGGCTCGCAACCTGGAGCGCTAAGGGACATCGACGAGAGAAAGGAAGGCGGGGCACGGGAGGAGGGGCGGAGGGAAGGAAGGGCGGAGAAGGAGGGGCGAGAGGGCAGCTTCTGCGCAGGCGCACTCCCCGCGCGGAGGCGGCGAGTTGGGGTGGGGAGGGGCGCGCTGGGCCTGGACTAGAGAAAGGAAGACTGGAGGGAAGGAAGCGGCGGGGACGCGCGGTGTGCGGCTGCGTTCGCCGTCCCGAGCCGAGGGGAGCGCGAGGCGGTGCGGCCGCCCTCGCCGTCCCGAGCCGGTGGGGGAGCGCGTGGCGGCGCGGCCGCCTCGCCGGTCGGTGTGGCCGGTGGCGCGCGCATGCCTGACTGGGCTTTGTCTGAGAGGCGCGTTAGGCGGCGGAGGGGAGGAGTGGGTTCCCAGCACGCGGCCGCTCAGCGCGGTAAAAAAAATCTGAGCGACGAGGATGCGTTCTTGAAGAGGGAGGACGAGGGAGGGAAAGAAAGGAATTTGCGGCGAAGCCAGTTCCTCGCTTCCCGACCAGTAGAGCGGACGCCGTAGTCGGCGTCGCAGAAACCCGACGGCCGAGGCCCGCGGGGGTGGCGGTGGGAGGGGTACCTGCCTGGAAGTCCGAGAGGGCCCTGTTAGTGTTACGTTCTCTTTTCATTATATAAATGACTATATGACTATTTCAAGCTAAAAAAAGAAAATGAAAATTTTAAAAATAGGTTCTAAGAAGAGAACGAAATGGATAACAGGGGAGACATGGGGAGGGCTAAGAATTTTAGTAGAATCGGTTGTGAGTCGGATTTCTGTCACTGTACGCATTTTGTTGTCCTCTCCGACTCTCCCTGTATTCTTTTTTTCTTTATTTTCCCTTTTTTCACACCCACATACACTACCTTTGCCATTGCAGGTCTGTTGGGTATAATAAGGTGTGGAGAGGAAATGTGCCCCAGACAACGCTAATCAAATGCACTTTTTTCTCGCAAAACACAAAACACGGCAGGGCACACTCCACGGTACACGTGTGAATGTACAGAGCAGTTTCAACCGGCAAATGTCACGAAGGAGCCAAAGCGTCAGTTACAATTATGCATGCTCAAAGATAATAAAGTTCACCCTTTATATATCCAAAGACAGTGGGTTTTGTCTTTTATAGTGGAATATGTATAAAAATGTGCTCCCCTGGTAGGTCAGCTGTAAAGAATCCGCTTGCAAAGATAGAGACGGAAGTTCGATCACTGGTTGGGGAAAATCCGGAGAAGAAAATGGCAGCCTATTCCAGTGTTCTTGCTTGGGAGGAGGGAAGAGCACATGGACATCTCATGGATAGAAGAACCTGGCCGGGTACATCCATGGGGTCGCAAAAGGGTGGGACACAGCTGAGCGACTCAACAACAGATGTATAAAGGTAGGTGGAGGAATCATTTCCATTTTTTTTTTGAAATTCCAGTATCTGATTAGACCTTTTGGATTCATATATTTTGCTTTTATTTTGCATTCTCCTAGGAGGAATCTCACGTTAAATACCATTAATCTTTGAGATTAATATTTTCTCTGCTAAGGGTAATAGTCAAACCCACAAGAAGCACATTGAGGATGGGAAGGGGCTGTGTAACAGAGGCCAAGGGAAAAAGGGAAAGAAAACTAAAGGAGGTGGCAAGGTGCACACAAGATGTTTTCCTTTAGAAATGTCTATTTCCGTGAGCCTGGTTGCCAAATCCACAAGAATGTCCTAAGGACTCCTTCATTCTTCTTGCCTCTTAACTTAGTAGGGAGAGTGGAGGACTACTAATCACAATAATAATCTCAGACCAGCAATATCCCAGGAACCTGTTAGACATGCAAATTCTTAGACCCCCACCGCAGACCGTCTTGAATCAGAAAAATGCAGTACTCTTGTTTTAATGAATTCCCCAAATTTGCACATTTACGTTTAAGAACCAATATAGTATGCTAAACAAGAAAAAGATATGCAACACCATCATCAGCCTTTGAACATAAGACATTAGACTGGCTCTACTAGCTCTGGGTTAACACATAGCATAGGTATTCTGCCTGAGATTCCAGGTCAGGCTCACTAATTTGCAGAATTACATCCATTCCCTTTTCTGGAAATTCTTTAGCATCTAAAGGTCAATATTTAATGCAGTCCAACACCAGTCACATGCCAATGTATACTATTTTCTAGTTCCTACACTGCAGACACAACTTGTAGTCTAACCTACTGCCTAACCTAATGCTAGGCATCTTTGTCAATTGCCTTGAACAGGTCTCCATTCTTTTAAAAAATACTAGATTAGATCAGCTCACATCTTTAGACATCAGTTGCTCAACTAGTGGGAGAGATCTACTCTGTCTATGTATATAGCAACCTAATACCAGTGTCTTAACATTATATTCAGTCTTAGAGTACTGTTGTCTTTTCCATCTAAAGAGATTACCACACATTTCTGATGAGATATTTTCAATTTTTTTACACATTCTGTTTATTGGAAGGATCTAGGCCTTGATCTTTATTATTCTTTGTGTACTCTCTTAAATCAGTCTTCTGTCTTCAGTGACTTATTTTTTCCAAAAAAGGCTAAACGTTTTGCTCTCTTTATTTTTTTCGATTGCCTTTTTTCTTTTTCTATTCACCTTGACCTCTCCGTCTTTCATTTATAGTCTTTACAGTTTAATTTTTTTCTGCTAATTTCTCCCTCAATTTCTACCTCTGTGTTTCTCTTTCCTTTTCTTCCAAGTCCCTGAATTTCCTGACATAGATAATGTACTACTTGAAGTTTCATAAGTCAAAAACTGAAGAACATTTTTAAAAAAATGATATATTTATTTGGAGAGAGGCATTAAGGGTTTCTGCAGGGACTGATGTTAGGTGTGGTGTTATGTAACATTAGTTAACAAAGGGAAGTAAACAGTCTGCTAATTAAATTCACAGATAATATTAAACAGGGAGGCACTGAGAAACAGAACAATATACAAAAAGAGGAAAATTCCAAATAGCTTTTACTCTTAGTAAAACAATCTTTGATATCTGTGATTTGAGAAAAGTTACTCTGGATATAGAATTAAACAGCATTTAATGAAGAATAAATAATAGATGTCAAATAGATGGGGAAAAAATGGAACAGTAACAGATTTTCTTGGGTTCCAAAATCACTGGAAATGGTGATGCAGCCATGAAATTCAGAGACTCTTGCTCCTTGGAAGAAAAGCTGTAACAAACCTAAACAGAATATTAAGCAGCACAGATACCACCTTGCTGACAAAAATCTGTATAGTCAAAGCTATGGCTTTTCAGTAGTCATGTGTGGATGTGCGAGTTGGACCATAAAGAAGGCTGAGCACTGAAGAATTGATGCTTTTGAACTGTGGCTGGAGAAGACTTGAGAGTCCCTTGGATTGCAAGGAGATCCAACCAGTCAATCCTAAAGAAAATCAACCCTGAATATTCATTGGAAGGACTGATGCTGAAACTGAAGCTCCAATACTTTGGTCATTTAATACAAAGAGCCGACTCATTGGAAAAGACCCTGATATTCAGAAAGATTTGAGGGCAAGAGGAGAAGGGGGTGACTCAGGATGAGATGGCTGGATGGCATCACTGACTCAATGGACATGAGTTTGAGCAAGCTCCGGGAGATGCTGAAGGATAGAAAAGCCTGGCATGCTACAGTTATGGGTTCCCAGAGTCATACATGACTTAGCAACCAAGCAACAACAACAAATAATCAAAAAAGCTGGGCAAAGACTTATGGGTAAAAAAAATCTGAACACTTAATTTTCTAAAAAATGAATTTGACTCATTCTGATTTTACTGGCAACTCAAATATGAATATAATACACTCTAAAATATGTTACAGATTTGATACTTGAATATGTGAAAAGATAACTGACTCAGTAATACAATTTTAGAGAATGTTTCTGAGGGGAACACTGAGCAAGAAGCGATAAAGATCATAATTGTGTTTCATGCCCTAGTACACATTCAGCTAAACAAATAGGCTTCCAAGTTTCTGTAAATAATGTCAAAAGGTTTCATTGACCTCAAAATTTTACTCCTAACCTCTAATACCCTTAGTGCATTTGTTGACCTCATCTTAAAATTTTCAAGAGCATAAATTTCCTTACTAGGAGGTGTTTTGAGCAAATTACATTGAGGAGATATAGGTTAATGGAAATTATTTTGATGAAAAAGTAAATAGCTCTTCAGAGATTACAGTATGTGGTATAAAAATAAATAAGCTTGAAGGAAATTATAAACACTATGGAGAAATTAAAGAATAGTACAAACCGAGGCTCTAAAACTTTAAAGAAAAGTATTAGAGCTCTCTTACAACATTTAAACTTACATATGGTTAAAAGTGGAGCTTCCCTGGTAGCTCAGCTGGTAAAGAATCCACCTGCAATGCAGGAGACCCCA